TTTATTTATTTATTTATTTATTTATTTATTTATTTTGAGAGCAGAAAGAGAGGGAGAGAGAGAATCCCAAGCAGGGCTCCAACTAATGAACAGATCATGACCTGAGCAGAAATCAAGACTCAGACCCTGAACGGACTGAGCCACCCAGGCACCCTGAGGTTAGATCCTTTTTAGTGGGATTTCTTAATCTAAAATGAAAGAGGCTGGGAGGATGATGATCAGTCTTTAGAATCTTGGTTCTGCATAAGTTGAACATGGCCAGAAAAATGAGGGGGCACTCCTTGAAGGTCGAGAGAGATTCTGAAGACCTATGAAAGAAATACTATATCCAACAGGTAGTAAAATTATAGAAATTCATTGCCTCTCGTGGGCGTGGCAGGGCATACAAAGGGAAAGGCTGAAAGGATCTTCATAATTTCTCACTAAGTAAGGCAAATTGGATGGAGTTGTGATAATAAGCACCTGTTGGTCGTGTGTGTGTGTGTGTGTGTGTGTGTGTGTGTGTATTTGTAGAGTTGCTCATGAGAATGGCTACCAAATTGTTACATTGTTTCAGAATAATGGGGTTTCTTTTACATTTCTGATGTGTTTGAGTTTGTATAAAAAACTGATTTATTATAAATCAAAAATATGGTTTTCATACATGCATTGGAAATAAGAAAATACAAAGTAGTAATAAGGTTATTAAAATTTTTCTTTGGATGGAACTAGAGTATATTAAGCTAAGTGAAATTCATCAGAGAAAGACAAGTATCACATGACTTCACTTATTTGTGGAATTTAAGATACAAAACAGATGAACATAAGGGAAGGGAAGCAAAAATAATATAAAAACGGGGAGGGGGACAAAACATAAACTCTTAAATACAGAGAACAAACTGAGGGTTGCTGGAGAGATTGTGGGTGGCAGGAGGGGCTAAATGGGCAAGGGGCATTATTAAGGAGGACACTTGTCGGGATGAGCACTGGGTATTATATGTAGGGGATAAATCACTGGAATCTACTCCTGAAATCATGATTGCACTATATGCTAACTAACTTGAATGTAAATTAAAAAAATTTTTTTTCTGGATTTGTGAATCACAGTTATGTGGATAACGGAATGTTGTTTTAGGTATTTTCCTCAGCTTTTTAGGGAAGGGCACCCTGCACATTGATTGTCCTGTGTCCTCTAAAATAGCTTTCCCAGCGGTCCTTGCATCTGCCTGGGGATGGCATGTCTTGGACTGTTTCACTTTTAGCTGAAACACACAGTTGGACAAGGTGACTCATCTTATACACTGAAGTGCTCAGCCTGGCCTTTTGTTTCCTCTCTGTACTCTTTTCTCCTCCCAACAGCTAGACTTTTAAAATGTAAGTCAGAACATTTCTCAAAAGCGTCCAGTAGCTTCTGATGTCATTTATAAGAAAATCGAGCATCCTCATGGTGGCCCCTACTTTGCCTGTCCTCCCCCTTCCTCCCTGTGCTCCAGCCACACAGGCCTCCTTGCTGTACCTCAGTCCTGTCTGCATGTTTCCACCCAAGGCCTGGCTTGCTGTCCCTGGATATCTGCCTGGCTTATTCCTTGCTTCCTTCAGGTGTCTGTCTAAATGTATCCCCATCCAGATCATCCTGACTCTGCTTTCTAAAATCTCACTCACGCTCTCCCTCCCTCTGTTACTTTCTGTCCCTTTGCGTCCAGTGTCCCTGTTTTCTCCCTAGCACTTACCACCACCTGACATATGTATTGATTTGTATATTTTATAATGACTGTTTCTTTCTACTAAAATGTAATCTCTAAACGTAACCACGGAAATGTAGCATTATCTCTTGTCATGGCCGTGAGCATACTGCCAAGGGCAGTGCCTGACGCATAGTAAGCACTCAATAAATATGTGCTGAGTGAATGAATTCCTGTCTCATTTCTCCGCTCTGTGTTCTGACATTTTTGCCTTGCAGAGAAGTTGTTACATTCAACCATTTCCTGGAAGCAGCAGCTGAGAAGGAGGTTCAAGGGAAAGCTCGGCTCCAGGACTTTATTGAGAATCTGCTGCAACGGGTAGAAGTGGCAGAAAAGCAGTTAGAGTACTACCAAAGCCAGCAGGCCGCTGGCCTCTGCCGGGACATCGGTGAGCACATGGTAAGTCACACAGGTCCAGCCACCAAGCTGTGGTCCTTGGATATGGCGAGACTGGGTCCATAGGACAGAGGAAGAGGGAGCTGGGGAATGACTTACAGGAACCTTCTAGGCGTCATTTGAAAGCCCTGCACCAGCCATGCCTGTGTTACGAAGTGACACCAGGGGATCCAAGATGAGATCCGGGATGCACAGTTGTCTTCAGCCTGCGACTCCACACCGAGATAAACAGGCAGGAATAGTTTTATATTATAGAGTAACAGAGTTGGAAGTGTCCAAGCAGATCATCGGTGTCAACCTGGGCGATCAAGTAGATTGGAAAATATTGTCCCATTTTGGAGCTCTTCAAGAGAATCTTAAGAAAGCTTTGGCCTTTTAAGTAACAGTGGGATCTAGCCACGTACCTCTTTTTTCTTTAACAGGAAGGACAGCACCTTCCGATAGTCTCTATAGTTGAAACATTTTAAGTAGATTTTGAAAAGGTCTTAGAAAATTTCACAAGTGACAGTTCTATAATAGATTTCTGCCTACAAGTTTACGTATCGTTTCAGGGACTTAAGAGACCCCCAGAGCCCAGATGAGAACCGTGCGTACGGCTGAAGGTCCAGATTCTCCTCAGTGGCTTGATCAAGATTCTCTGGTCTCTTTGGGGGTGGGAGGAGATACAACACCCGTGCTCCAGATGAGGGAGATGGTTGGGCAGATTTGCCCTCCAAACAGTTTTTTTTTTCTTATAAGCAACAAAAGCCAAAGAAAGGATTTTTGAAACCCCAGAGTGGTTTACTTATACTATTTTCATGATCTATTCAACCTTATTTATGCTTACCCCCTTCCCAGAAGATTTAAAAATGATTCTTTACTTCCCTACACGTGGACTGTCCATGTCAGGAGAAGAAAAATAGGAAACATTTATGCTAACCAGAATGTTGGAAAAGTTGCTATTGGCTGATTAAAAAGTTTAGTTTGAGCATTCTGGAAGCCAAGAGTAAAAGGAAACATGTTAAATAAAAAAAGAAGGAATGAGATGAAAAGCAGGTGGAAAAAGAAGGCAAGAGGGAGAGACAGACAACAGGAGAAAAAGGGAGAGAGGAAGGAAGAAGTGAAGAAACCTTCTGCCGTCTTACTGTAATGTACACTCACCCTTAGAGCAGTGAAACAATGGGAGCTCTAGAGGTTTCCGGTCAGGAACAAAAATAGACTGGAAAGAAGTAAGTTTGTTACTTCTGTGAGATTTCAGTTACTGTAATCAAAGCAGTTGCAGCCATGTGCGTGTTTATTATTTTCCTGTTGGTGTCTGTGGTCTGAAAGGGAGCCTATACTTCCCTCCTCTGTAGAGTCCAGTCATAACTCATTGTGGCTGGAAGGACACACTGAACCCTTTCCTGCCTTTTTCCCATCCTGCCCTCTATCAGGAGGGAGTGCAGCATGAGGTCACGGAGCTCACATGTGAGGTGAAAAGGCCTGGCTTCCAGATCATTAGCTCCCCTCTCCTGACTGGACGAGACCATTTGTCTTCCTGGACCTGTAATTCTTCTATAAAATGAAGCAGTTGGGGGTGCCTGGGTGGCTCAGTCAGTTAAGTGTCCAACTTTGGCTCAGGTCATGATCTCATAGTTCATGGGTTCGAGCCCCATGTTGGGCTCTGTGCTGACAGCTCAGAGCCTTTTGCCTGCTTCGGATTCTGTGTCTTCCTCTCTCTCTGCCTCTCCTCCGCTCACATCTGTGTCTCTCTGTCTCTGTCTCTCTCAAAAATAAATAAACATTAAAAAAGTTAATAACAAACTAAACTAAAATGAAGCAGTTGGACTAGATGCTCGCTAGGGTCTTGCGCCTCTTAAATTCTCTGATCATCACCTGACTTTGGTGGTTAAGAATTCTAAAATAAAAGTGTAGCATTAACAGCTTGACTATTTAGGCTTATAAGTAACCCAGAGCTAAGAAATGTGTAAAATTTTACTATACTAAGCCAAGAGGATCTTAAAGAAAGAGAGAAAACAATGGAAGGCAAGGAGGAAGAGAGGAAACCGAATAGTTCTCTCTCTTACTTATATTTCTGTGCTCACTTTCCTCTGCTTATTTTTCCACTTTGAAAATTAAACATCTTTTCAAAGACATTGCTAGTCATTATTTTCATCACAGTGGCACCACATAGTCACAAGTTGGACAGCATCTCCGCGGCTCTAGTCAGCTATGTATATATGAAGTTACGTGCATGTGTGCCTGTACACACACAACACACACGAATGACACATAAATACGTAGATCTACAGGCACACATTTGTATGCATACATATATATACAAACACAGCAGGAACTTGATACATAGTTGTGTTTATGCCTTCTGTGTCCTAAACATGGCATGATCTGCCTTCATCAGACTTGATCTACCTAAGGAAGAATTGACTAATGGAAAGAAAGTAAAATGCAGTTAAGATGATAGTGGGGATGATGACTGTGAGTAGGACATGGTCAGGCCACAGTGAGGTGGACTGTGGGACTCCCGTGGGGAGGACACATCACCCTGAGAAGACCAAGAATGAGGTGCTTTGTTTCTGAAAGGATTGAGTACTTTCCCTGTTTTCATGGAAGTCCTCTCAACTCTGCGTTGGACCATAATGCACCGCATCACAGTTCAGTCTTCGGTCCTTCAGACCGTTTCTCCCTTTTTGTTTCATCTGTGTCATCTTAACACTATACATGCACCTGTGAAATTAGGAACAGTGTCTTTGATGTAAGGCACATGCTAAGTCTGGCCTCCCAGGGTTCCTGTGGTTGTTGTACACACAGAGAGGAACTTGGATGCTTTTGGCAGGAAAAGCTCTGAATCCTAGCTTTATTGACTTACTTGGCCCACCTTAGTGAAGGTACAAAGCACTGACCAGCCCAGGCTTCTGGAGCCTCAGCCCCACCCAGGAGAGCTCCTTGCCCCAGTGCACCCTGGGAGGGAGCAGAACATTCTGACCCATTCCCTCCACACCTCAGCTCATGACAGCCTGGCATGCCACCCCAGTTAGTGCCTTTTCTGAAATAATGTTTTCAGCCTCTGTGTTTTCCCCTTAATTCCCTTGAGCATTTGTGTTCCTTTTTCACCTGGCTGATTTCTAAAAATGTAACATGCTTACTCAGATCCTTTGTCTTTATGCTCTGAAAAATGCTGTTGAATTAGACCTAAAGTGACCTAATATCCCATCTGCCAAAAACACACACAGAACTGCCCAAATGGAAGGTCATGAAACAGCTTGGATAATCTTATTTTAAGTGTTGCATTTATTTCCGGTAGGTTGCTAAATTAGGACTAGCCGCCATGCATTTAATACATGTTTATTGGGGACACAGCTCTTTCTGGGTGCTGAGGAAACTGGATGAATGAGGTAGGTGAGGTTCCTGCTCTCGTGAGGAAGGCGACGGCATCGAAACAAGTAAACATGCAACAAAGATGGTTTCCTGCGGTGACAACCCCTTTAAAGGAAAAAGTAAGATGATGTGTCTGAGTGGTCCTTACGGTCAGGAACAGCCCTGCACGGGAGGCCACATTTAGACTGTGACCTGAATAACCAGAGGAAGGCAGCTCTGTGCACACTGGGAAGTGGCTTAGAAGGGAACAAGCTTGGCATGTTTGCGTGAGAAGAGTTGAAGTCAGAGATTCAAGAAGGATCCAGATCATGCCGGGGTTTCTGGGTCACATAAGGAGTTTGGACCCATTCTAGAACAGAGAGAAGCCATTGATTGGACAGTTGTGAGCAGGAGGTGAGCTGTTTTAGCACAATCGCTCTGGCTGTGGGGTGGGGGAACAGATAGGTGCAGGACTGGGAGACAGGTTAGAAGGCTGTTGTGTGGCAGGTGGTAGCTTGGTGAGAGCAGAGATGGAGAGAAATGGCAGGTATGGGGTGTATCGTGGGAATAGAATTGACTAAACCAGTTGGCCTTGCTGAAGGATTACTTTTTTAGCAGGTGAGGGAAAGGGAGGAATCAAGAATGAATCTAACGTTTTGGCCCGAACAGTTCAGTTTGCAGTGCTGCTATTTACACCAAGTGGAGGTTGGAGGAGAGCTGGGTGTCCAGTTTCTCTAACCCAAAACAACGCAAGACACCATGTTTGAGTTTTAGAAGTACATAGATTGGCTCTCAGTACAAATTTATTTATATTTTTCCAAGCTGGAACCTTCCTTAAGGACTCTCTCGATCCCCATCCCCAAATTCGCCTCTTCTTAAACAAAAAGAAGGCAAAATAGTTGGACGGGGAGAAAACAGAGACAGTGAGGTGGGTTAAGGAGGAAGAGCGTTTCTGTCTGCCTGCAGCTGTACGGCCAGAAAGAACAGTGGCCTCTTGTGTTCACAGGGAGGAGAGCATGTGAGGTTCTGTGGGGACTGTGATAACGGCCCTGCCTCCACCCGAGGCCCCATGATCTATAGGATCACTGGAGAAATTCCAGCCCAGCTATGGATTCCACGTAACTTTTGTGTACAAACTGCACACTTTTACACAAACACATACTCTTTGAGAAGGCTGAACCGAGTGAAGTCTTGTTTGGACTTGGAATGTGCTCACGTGGGTTTGAAGCCCAGCTCTAACACTGGTAAAGATTGAGGCTTCAAACCAGCTGCATCACTTTTTGGCTTTGTTTTCTACATCTGTGAAAGGGGGATGCCAATGCTTGTCTCATAAGGTTGTTTTGAGGGTTAATTGTGGTTATGTAGTCCGTATTTTATCCAGTGGGTGATGTACCGACATGCACAAGTTATGGTACCAGTACATATGCGTATATGTGAAGCTTATGGCTCATCGGCACCCACACTTGTGCATTTCCCTTTATGTAATATACAGTAAATTCTTTTAATTTTCTGAGGTCCCAGCAGGGTCCATCAGTGACATTCATAGGCACCAAGGTTTTGGTTCTTAAAACGTTTTGGAAGTCAGGGACCTCTTTGAACATTTGATAACATTGTTCGCCTTTCCTCAGGGAGGGAAGTATGTATGTGTATGTAAACACACACACACACACACACACACAGTTTTACATAAAATCCCAGAGTATTACATATACATATACAACATATCATCAAACTATATGCTTACATACATAGATATAGTAAAGTGAAAAAAATTTGTTATGCCTTAAGAATAATTTTTAAAAGTAGGAGGCACGTTATTTATTTTAAAGTTTATTTTTTGAGAGAGAGAGACAGCGTGAGTAGGGGAGGGGCAGAGAGCGAGAGAGAGAATCCCAAGCAGGCTTTGCACTGCCAGTGCACAGAGCCTGATGCAGAGACTGAACCCACAAATCTGTGAGATCATAACCTGAGCTGAAACTGAGTCAGATGCCTAACCCATTGAGCCACCCAGGTGCCCCAAAGTAGGTGGCAATTTAGAGGAAGAAAAATCCTACACGTTTTTGTTTGTTTTTATGGTTTACGCATATACTAATGTCTATCCAAGGACCCGGGCTGAGAAGCCCTTACTGGTGGCTGTGGGGCCACGGCTCATACTGCTGCGGTTCCCAGAAGCTGCCAGCCTGGTGTTTGCCTGAGCCGTCTGTCCTGTCTTCTTTGTATATTGCAGAACCTCACGACCCTCATGCAGGCAAGGTGCCTTTTTCTGTACACATTGATTAATCTCGTGTTGAATCCAGCCAGTGTGAGCAGGGTCAACCATAAAGCTTACTTTTGACTGAATCAGAAGGCAGATGCCAAGAATACCATCTTGCCCTGCTGGGCACATGACCCTCAAAGGTTTAAGAAAGCTGCTTTCTGGGGTGCTGGGTGGCTGTTGGTTAAGCATCCAACTTCAGCTCGGGTCATGATCTTGCAGCTCGTGGGTTCGAGCTCTGCATCAGGCTCTGTGCTGACAACTCAGAGCCTGAAACTGCTTCAGATTCTGTGCCTCCCTCTCTCTATGCCCCTCCCCTGCTCATGCTCTCTCTCTCTCTCTCTCAAAAGTAAATAAACATTTTTTTAAAAATTAAAGAAAAAGCTGCTTTCTGATTTGCTTCTGACTAAAGCTCAAGCTGCAAACAGATGACCCAGGGTAGTGACCCTGCTATGCTGAACTTAGTTTCTCTGATTATTTGAATACAGTAGGGACTCGTGTGTTGGCCATACTGGGCCCCAACACCAAGATGGCCCTTACTACATATTTTCTTTGTCCTCCTCTTCTTCTGTTTGTCTGCCTGCTGATATGACACCACTACTTTGAGTGAAGGCTACCCCAGGGAGATCAGGAATTGAAGGTTGGGAATACGCTGGGTTTGCCTCTAAAGTGGATGGTGACATCTGGATCACAAAATGATAGTTATCAATTTGTTTGGCAAATGATATTTGAGCCCAACCACAAAAGTGCATATTTTATGGGCAGTGAAAAATAATCTCAGTGATAGATGGCCTCAGGGACAGTTGTGGAGTTGGTCTTCATATGCTCTCACTTTAGAAATGATGTATTTTAGGCAATAAACATTTTATGCCAATTTTCCCTTTAGTTGATACACTGTGACCAACCACAGCTGTGGTAAATTAGCTGCACATGCAGCCTGAATTAATCAGGAAATAATGGCATATCATTCTAGTTTTATAAAACATGTTTCTTCAGATGTTGCTGTATTAGAGGGCTCTTCAACGTTTTGAAATTTCTTAGATCTACTGATAATGGCTTCTTGGAAATCTCAGAACCGGGAGCACAGAGGCTCCCAGAGTCAGCTGAGGCTGAACACGAGACCAGACGTTCTCGTTCAGTGCTGGGATAGCAGGTGCCATGGGCCGTGTTACCCATAGCAGTTACTGGCTTCCTTAATGGGAACAATTTCTTAAAAATAGAAGCGAGAAAGATTTTTAAAGTCAGTTCCAACGTTCAAGCGAAGTAATGTTTCTTCTTATTTGTTTTCCTTCAGCTTACAGATATCTCCTCAAATAGGAAACCCAAATGCCTGTATGTATATCTTTTTATACTTGGGCCATTTGATAATGTTTGCATAATGTATTTTCCTGTTACGTTTTATATGGTATCTATATTATAAGTGGACTTGGAAGTCTTAAGTGAAAATGTACCTGCCCGTGTACCTAATTTTGTAAATTGTGGATATGATTTTTAACGATGCTGATAGCCTTATAGCAAATGCCATATGGCAGTATGGTAGTATTACTGGAGTACTTTTACAGTATTCTGTAGTGTAACTTTCTCTTATTGAAGTACAGTTATAGTCATAATAGCTCTACAGTGCTATTAATGTGTGTGTGCTACATTAGATATCTATAATATAAACAGATGTGTAAATTTATACTATGATTCATATACTTTGTAATTGCTATGCTACTACTATATACAGTCACTTAAAGAGTCCAGGGCTATGGATTCTGGTCCCAACTTTTCCAGAGACCAGCTGTGTATGTTTTATCCTAGATAGTCACTTAAATTTTCTATGTCTCAGTCTTATTACTGGTGAATAGAGCTAGCAAGATCTCCCTGGGAATTTGACATCATGAGGTCGTTTCGTGAAGGCCACAGGAATTTTTGAAGGAAAAATACCAATTTATATTTGACTTAACTGGTGGCATTACTGCCACTCTAGTATGCAGGAGTGATTGTGCCAGGGATGGGTTTTTTCTTTAAAGGTTCTAAACAAAATCTTTCTTTCTGCTCATTTCCCTCTGTGCAACCATCTGTAGAAGTCGAGGGCACCCACATTCTGTGTGTAACCACGCTGATCTCAAGATCCATTTTCATCCAAAGGGAAGGAGCTACCTGAAAAAAGCCAAGGATGACAGAGCCAGCATGCAGCCCGCTAAGTCCATTCACGAACAGGCTGAGTCCCCACGAGAACTCTGCAGACCATCGAAGAAAGGGGAGCCTCTGGGGTTTTGCCGAAAAGGCAACATCAGGCCCAAGGTGGCCAAAAAAAAGCCCACAGCAATTGTGAACATCATCTGAAAGGGGGGTGGCCCTGGACCACCATTGCTGGACTTTGTGGAATGTTGTTCTAGGGGCCAACAATAATGCCCTTTTGGATACATCCCATAGTAAGACACATTGGGAAAAAAAAGGGCATAACACATTTATTTTGTGTCCATACAAGCACCTGGATTAACCAGAATTTGACAAACGGGAATCTCGGGGAACCAGAGTTTTATTATAGGCCCCTTTTAGAAGCAAGAGGCAGATTACAGAAAGAATTGAAAAAAAAAAAAATGAAAGCAGTTTTATTCCAAAATGTTAGTAAAAGCTCCAACTTGTAAAATAATTAGACCACTCTCCAGTAATTTCTGTACCTGGGGTTCTGTGCAGGGGTGATTAAACCTAGGACCCAAGGCCACACAAACCAAGTATTCTGGTTAATCAAGATTTCAGTGTTTGGGTTGCTTCAGGGACTCGTTCAGTTAGACTTCAGTTCTCATTTCTACTTTGTTCGATTCAGGTTTGTTGTTTCTCTGGAAGCATGTTTATTCAGATTTGGGGGAGCCTCTGCTTTCTTTGGCTGCGTATTCTGCACCCTAAGACCAAGCCACAGCCTCTGTCTTCATAGCCGTTATTATTGCCTGTGGTTGGGGCCGAAAAGCCGATTAAAACTGTAAAACCCTTTGATCAGCATCCGTCACCAGTTCAGGGTCTGAAGGTTGGAATGCCAGCAGATGGCACGTGTAGTGCATTGAGAGCCAGCCTGGGACACTGTTGATGTTACTCAGCCTTTCCCGAGACCTATTTCCCTGGTCGTGTGGGCAGCCTCCGTGAGCTGCAGGCGTGACTTGTCTCCTTGCTGGCCTCACTCTTCACCTCCTGCTGCCTCTGTGCCCTTTGATGACTAAATATACGTCCTTACCTTTCAACCAGGTATTGGAAGTGTTCACTGAACACTGCTTTTTAAAGTAGTTTCTGAAACAGTGCACGTGGGATCCACAGTCTGAGACTGTCCCTCTTCCCTCCCTAAAATAGCCTTTGTTTCCACAAGGAACCATCTGTTAAGAACCTTCTGCTTTATGATTTCCCTCAAGAATGAATTTCCATGTTCCTTTTTTTTTTTTTTTTTTTTTTTTTTTTTAACGTTAACAATATCATCAGGTCTTCTGCAGAGTTTACAAGTGCTGACATCCTTCTGGAAGAAAAGAGTAGTTATGTCCACAAATATATACATATATATATATATATATAAAACAAAATATATGTCAAGTATATTAATAATTTATTTTTAAATACTCATGCAAAAGGTGTGTGTTTGTGGTGGGTGGTTTTTAAACTATATACATTAGTTCATGTAAGTTGAATTCTCTTCTTTTAAAAATTAAAATTGTAACCTAATTAACATTAGTAGAATGATTGTTATTACAATAAGCATCAGATTAGCAATGCATTAAAAATAGGTATAAAGCAGTTACTTAAAATTCCAATAAATTGAAAAGTGTAACTTATCATTATACAAACATTTTGAACCTATCATAGTGAAAATGTTGATTTTTGAACCTTCACTTTGACATCTGGCTCACGGGGGTGGGCCATTCGTATGGTATACAGGCAACTATCAAGTGGGGAAAAAACATTGCTGTGAAGTGAATATCACTGTTTAGGCTAACACTGTAAAAATTGTAATGTTATAATTATTGTTTATTTGGAGAATTAATCTCCTCCAAAGTTATTTATTATTGGTGTTTATACCATGATTGCACTCTAGCCTTTTACATACTAAAAAACTGACTTGTTGTATTGCATGCCCTTTGTCCCGTAACACGTGTGTGCAATGACAACAACTTGTTTTTAAAGGTAGTATAGCCAGATTTGGTTTTGTTTATTTAATGTGACCTACATTTTTGATTTTTATTTAATATGCCTAGAGGGCATGGCAGCGCTCTTTGACAGTGGTACTCTGTGATCTCCAGAAAGCACCATAATGTCATATCTACTGTATGTACATTACATAAGACAGATGATTTTAAGATTTATTATATTAAAAAATTCTTTTTAATTCCAACTAAATTCTGACCTTCATATAATGAAATGCATTATAGATGTTGTGCTTCCTTAGAGACATAAATTTGCTGTTGAAACATGGGAGCTGGCTCAATCCAAGGGATATTCCACCTACATACCATGGCCCAAGCCATGTACTGTGTCCAGCTGGGGTCTTATTTTTAAATATATATATTTTTTGTCCACATGGGCAGTCAACCTGCGAGTTGATTTTTGAAGAAATTACCAAAGTTTCTGGGAAAACATGTTCAAGGTTAAACTGAAGAATGGATCTAATTTTTATGATTTGTTTTGTAAGGAGGAAATTTTTCTTTGAACTAGTCTTTCATTCTTTCTTCCCAAAGTTATGGATTCTCAAATGCTAAATTCAGGTTGCTTAGACACTGTTTTCCAGTATTCTGCAGGGTAGATCAGTTGTATGTAAGTTGGAATGTTCTTTTCCCAGAATTGATAAGAAAAAGTTTTTAGATTACGAAATATTATAATAATAAAGCTATATTTATGACTAATGTGTTGGTATGTTTTGTCTAGTTGAAATGTTTCTGGGGACCCAAGTGTACTGGTCCATTAACAGTGAACAAAATAGTTTTTAGTGAATAAACTGTTCACTGCACATATAATCACCATGCTCTTGTACCTATAAGCTTTCTTAAAAACTAAGCTTGATTGTTTTTGTTGATCACAATGCCTATATCAAAAAGTTCTTTTTACATATGTTCACACTGAGAAGGCCTCACTAAAAGCCCATTTGGTACTTTTCTCCCATCTTCCTCCACACTGAGTAATTTTCCTACACTCTATTTTTAAACTTGGCAGCTCTTAGCAAAAACCATGAACAGATTTCACAGTGTATATCCCAGTTTATATAGGCTATACATCTCAGTCATTGCAAGACCCAAGAGCGATTACAATAGATAACAGAGAGAAGTACTGTATATCATTGGGAGATTACTCAGCCATTTGGTCTTTTAAGAACCATGGAATTAGGAAAATCGAGAGGGTGCCATTTGTTTAGGAGTTGTTAGAGCTTTTATGGAGGTGACCTTAGTCTGTTCTTCTACTTATTCGTGTTAAGGTTGATGGATTCACCAGGTCATAATGTTCTTGAAAAATAACGGTGACATTCTCCATGATCTCTGGGCAGGAGAAAACATAAATAAATCCCAGTGTCTCGATTCTGCTTAGGCTGGATCCTTGAAAAGTGAATTCCAGAGATGGCGTACATGGAGGGATAAGCACAAACCTTGGAACCATTTCAAAATTTAAGTAATGGAGAGCTTTAGATTGTAGGATTATTTTTTGTGGATTTAAGGTGGTGAATTTTTTTTTTCATTCTTTTCTGTCCATGTTCTGTATCAATAAAATGGACACATCTGAAAAGTTCATTTAAGAACGGGATCTTTAATCTGTAGCACTATGATGTGTTTACTCTGCATTTGTAGCCATTATTCTAAGATATTTCAAGCCGTTCCAAAAATGAGTTTTTCTCTTAGAGGAACCTCACATAGAGGCGGGCCTGGCTCTCCTACCCACACTGTAAGGGGACACTGGTAAAGTTTGTATATGTAAGGATAGGTGTGTGGGAGGGTGAAGGAGAGCTTTTGGTACCCATGATTGCTATCCCAGAATATCTGAAGTGCTGTCACATGCAAGAATGCTTCTTTTGTGTGGCTTTCAATCAGTGAAAGTTCTACAAAAGCAGACTTTTAAGTCATTGAACGAAAAATGTCTAAGTGCAACACAGAATAGGTCACCTTGTTGAAAAGTGAGCTCCCTGTCTCTGTGCCACTCTTTCCTTTGTGGTTGATGGGACTCTGCTTTGGGTAAGGAATTGTACTGGATTCTTAAAGAACATTGAGCCCTGGGATTCTATCATATGTATTGATACTACATTATTGTAAATGTTGGCTGCATCAAACTGAATGTTGATGTGATAAATTGATTTTGGAAATTTTACTTCATTGACTTGGACTTGGTGAAGTTTGCTGTGACATGTTTCCACAGTTAACCTCAGAAGATGCTTTTGAGGTAGGTAGGGATGAGATATCATTTTCTTCTCTTGGCATGTGCAGAAACAGCATCAGGGGACATGGGAGATGTACACTGGCGTTGTTACCTCAGTCAGGACCATGTGACTCTGGGGAAGCATCTCACTTCACTGAATGTGTTTTCAGGGTTTAAAGAGAAAGTATGCTTTTTTTGTTACAACACGGTTCCTGAATACAAGCCAACTACTTCATCTGATGTTAGTTGCGTCAATAGCAATTCTGTCCAAATTGGGGGGAATTGGCAATATTTGACTTAGTAAGAGATGACGTGTGACTCCAGTATCATACCTTTCTCAAGAATTTTTCAGGTGGTTTTGATGATACTTGACTTTTGCCTTTCTTTTGATAATACTTAAGAATGTGACTTCACCATATTTTACAATGAAGGTGGGGCTTAATAATTGTTGGGGAGAGTTGCCCATGGCCCAAGACCTCCTTCATGACTGAGCGAGAGTGGGATTCAGAATACCATCTTCCTGAATCTCAGCCAGTGCTCTTTTCGCCACATTGTGCCATCTCCTTGACAAGAGTCCCAGAACATGGCCCTAAATGTGTGCATTTGTTGATTGCACGATGGTTACCAGTGTCCTAAAATTCAGTTTAATATTTATTGTTAATGATTGCACCTATTTAATGCAAGTTGTTGTGAGGGGATATAAATATCACCACTTGGCAATCTGTAGATACTCTCCTTATAATAGAGCCACCCTAGGTTGGCAAGGAATTCCTGAGTTTCAGATCTTTCAGAATTTAGGGCACACGTTTTTAGACACTTCGAACTTGCAGTTTGCAAACTGATGAGAGGGACACTGCATTTACCTCACTGGATGTATAGAGAAACAACTGGTTATATATCTCAATCCCTGGTCTTTGTTCAAGGCAAGGTGTTCATTTCCCTCATTGTCAAGAATGCACCCTTTTAAT